AGAACATTCGTAAAAACTAAAAAGTCTTAGTAAGCATTATAGAGATAATTATCATGTCTATTGACCTTTTTTTCACAAAAGTGTACATTTTACCATATTGGTGTGGATTCTACACTGCAGAAAATGTTAATGGGCACAAATCAGTACCGGTAATACATTTAGTCATTGATTTGAGGGGGCACGGGTGGCACAGTCATCTGAGGTGCCGCGATTCGCTGTGCAGAGTTGCGTCCCTTGGGCAAGCCAGAAGCCTATGATTGTTGGTACGAATCCCGGTTTGCCCTGATTATGTTTCTAGGTTTGTCAGCACCATACCCGTGCTCGTGGGTTTCACCGAAGTGGTAAACGTCTGAAACCTGCATCACTTCGGGCTTTCCTCCCACATTAAGCTGACACGCCCTGATATAACTGGAATGATGTTAAAAGTGGCGTTAAACCCAACTCACTCACTCACTCACTACCTGATTGATTTGAAAACTTTCTTCTTCTTTTTTTTGTTTCCCTGTCCTCCCTCTTGCCTTTTTGTTGCAGATTTTGGATAAAAGTAATTACGTTGGCCTGTCCTTAACTTGTATTCCAATAAGGGTGGCCAAGCATCTGACTTACATAATCCCCCTGTCGCTGATTATATGTTGAATTTCAAATTATTCAGGAAAATAGACCTGTTGGTGTGAATGACTGACCCAGAATTTGGCCAGTCATACAGTGTATGTAGGCAGTACTATCAGATTGATTGACATATTCTGTGATATTGTTTCCATGCTTTTCATCTGTCTAGTTGCATCATTGTTTTAAGCATTTATTTATTTGTGATTATTCCTCATTCACACAGGAGTGCTGCTAAAATAAATATGTCAGAAAAAAATGTATTTTGTTATTTGTGATTAATGTTGGAAATAGCTGGTAGTCTGGACAGCTGGTGTGTCTATGGTTAATGGCCCATCTCGTGAAGATTGTTCACCAACGCTCGATCTCTATAAACAAATTTGTTTAGCAAATATGGTACCTGCACATTTCACAACACATTTTTGAACTTGGAACTAAACATTCCTCTCGACATCAAACCACGGAATGGTTTTCACCTTCCTTTCTACCATGACTAAATGTCAACAAGAACTCATGAAAGCGAGGGGCGGTCGGGTAGCCTTGTGGTTAAAGCGTTCGCTCGTCACGCCGAAGACCCGGGTTCGATTCCCGACATGGGCACAATGTGTGAAGCCCATTTCTGGTGTCCTCCGCCGTGATATTGCTGGAATATTGCTAAAAGCGGCGTAAAACCATACTCACTCACTCACTCACGAAAGCGAAGATACTGAGTGAAGTGGCATGAGTTGAGGGTAATACTTTGAGTTTGCCGATTTGAATTAAATATGTAATCACTTTAAACAATTTCTGATTCTTGAATGAGTGAGTGAGTTGGGTTTAACGCCGCTTTTAACAGTATTCCAGTCATATCATGGCGTGTCAGCTTAATTTGGGAGGAAAGCCCGAAGTGATGCAGGTCTCAGATGTTTATCACTTTGGTGAAATCGTGCTGACAAACTTAGAAACATAATCGGGGCGAACAGGGATTCGAACCCACAATCATAGTTTTCTGGCGTTCTCAAGGGACGCAACTCTGCACAGCGAACCGCGGCGCCTTAGACGACTGGTCCACCTGTGCCCCCCAAAGCTATAAGAGATATCAGTTTCGAGGACTAGATGTAGAATAAAAATTGAACAAATTGGGAACACATTTCAGCCAGTACTGAAGTATGACAGTAGATTCCACTATTATGACATCACAAACATCACTGTACAACAATAGATATGACGTCACAGTCTGAGATACAAAAGATCAACCTCTCCTTCAAATTTTAATACATGGAGAATATTTAGTTTTTTTTTGGTCATATACATGTAGTTGGTTTTTCTCATGGAGTGAGTGAGTGAGTATGCAATATTCCAGCAATGTTACGGTGGGGGACACCAGAAATGGCCTTCCTAACACAACATTTTCATTACATTCCCAGTAACATATTGAGCATTGAGAGGTCCGTGAACGGGCGATCTCTGTGCTATCAAGTCAAATTTGTGATATCAATAATTATTTTTTCACGAAATTGGACTTTCACAGTCAGTTAACTCCCTTGCCTCAGGAAGATGACCAGTTTGTAGCACACACTCCCATTCATTTTACAATTATGTTACTTTTCATATCATCCACATTTCAACCAGACACTCCTAAACCCACAGGGTTAGGATTGGGGGTGATATGGGGAAAGACAAGAACAGTGAGATTGAGTGAACTAAACTGTGACTGGTGGCAGGGATTGTATATAAACAGCTTTACCGATCAATAAATCATTTTATTATATCTTAAAATCGAATTTATGATATCAATAAATCATTTTGTAATATCTAAAAAATTGAATTAATGATTTCAATAAATATTTTTTTTATATCTAAATATTGACTATATGATCTCAATAAGTCATGTTGTTATATCTAAAAATCGAATTTATGATATCAATAAATTATTTTATTGCAAAAGCACATGGCACTAGCTAAAGCCCCTTAGTGACGAAATAAAACATGCCAGTGTGGGTTATCCCCCTTTGCCTCCCTATGGAGTTATCTCCCGTACACCAGATAAAAAAGACGTATAGGCTACTCAAGTTAACCCACTGCAGCTAGAGCACACGATACAATAAAAACGTATACTGCTTAAACAAATCTTGCATCAAATGCTACTTAAGACTGTATTACAAAATATGGTGCGCAGACCTAGTTTATATTAATAATATTATTCCAAATCAAGTCTTTGAAAGACATTTAGAAGTGATACACAAGAAGGGAATTTATGGATGTCAACTTCTTTATTATGTGAAACACTACGTTTCGGAGTACATATTTACTCCTTCATCATTCACCTGATGTCCGATTCATTGCTATTTAAAGGTGAGGAGTAGTGAGGATATCTTTTCACACTCGTAATGGAATACTAGTAAAACTGTAACAGGTTGGTTGGTTGGTTGGTTGTTTATCGCCGCACTCAGCAATATTCCAGCTATATGATGGCGGTCTGTTAATAATCGGGTCTGGGCCAAACAATCAAGTGATTAATATCATGAACTTCGATCCATGCAATTTGGATCGATATCATGCATCAACCAAGTCTGCGAGCCTGGCGACCCGATCCCGTCAGTCGCCTTTTTCAGCAAGCAGGGGTTGGTGAAGACTTATTCTACCCCGGATCTTCACAGGTCTCCACACATAGGCACACTCTTACGACAATCATAGTCGTCTTTTACGGCAAGCATCTGTTGCTGAACACCTATTCTACCCCGGATCTTCACGGGCCTGTAACAGGTTGGTATAATGTGGGTGTCAGAATAAATATTATTAATTATATTTTGCAAGAAAATGGACCAGAATGTAATTTTGATGAATTTAGAGAGAAATATAGTAAGAAAACATATTTCCTTACATTTCTGGGCATTGGAAATGACATGCTTAAATATTGTAAAAAAATGCATATACAATTTAATAACATATCATATGTCCTTTCAATCGTTTGACGTCTCTGCTGGATAGTTTGTATTTAATGGCAAATAGGTGTACACGAAGTATATGAATGAAGTGGCTCCGGTTAAAAATCGTTCATAATATCATTAGAACAAACAACTTCCCATTCAAAATGAGATGAGTAGAATCCAGTTGTTCATATTGCAATATTGAACCTGAAATAGTTTTACACATTTTATGTCAATGTATTAATGTACATGGAATTTGGACTAGACTGGTCAGTTGGCGTGGAAAAACCTAAGATTGACTACTAAATTTACCAATGAAAACATCATTTTTGGATATCATAAAATACTCATGATAAATATAAGACTTTTAGATCTGCGTCTCATAGCCGACCACGTTGGCTGAACTTGGTCAGGCGCTACAAGAGGAGTGTGACGCTTTCAAATCGCCTTTGGGAGACTCGTACGTGGTACGTCGAGTGGATGAATGTTTGACCGAATTAAATTTTGGCGATATTACGAACTATCGATCAAAAAACGTCAACTTGGCGGTCATAACATCTACTGTTCCCAATTCGTTCAATTTTATCATACAGCTATTCCTCGACACTAATATCTATTATAGCTTTGGGGGGCACAGGTGGACCAGTCGTCTAAGGCGCCGCGATTCGCTGTGCAGAGTTGCGTCCCTTAGGAACGCCAGAAACCTATGATTGTGGGTTCGAATCCCGGTTCGCCCCGATTATGTTTCCAGGTTTGTCAGCACGATACCGGTGCTCGTGGGTTTCACCGAAGTGGTAAACATCTGAGACCTGCAACACTTCGGGCTTTCCTCCCACATTAAGCTGATACGCCGTGATATAACTGGAATACTGTTTAAAGCGGCGTTAAACCCAACTCACTCACTCTTATAGCTTTGGAAATTGTTTGTTCTTTCCGAGAATCTCCTACACTTTTAGAAGAGAATATATGAAGATATAGAAATAATGGAATGATAATCTATCCTTATTTGAAATGTCATGAAGCTACTGTAAACAACCGATGTATGTGATGTGCCACAGATGAAAGGTGCCATGAATAGTTATAGGCTTCGTAAACAACACTCAGTCGCTTCAAATATGACGTCACGACATAATGACATCATACAACTGATGTCACTTATAACAGAATAGAAATAATAGAAGAAACGTCCAATGAGCTCTCTAGATATGGCACACCTTACATGAGGGAGGACGTATGTCGTCCTATCCCTGTCATATCAGGGTACAAAGTGTTAGTATCCATATGTTTAAAAATAACATACCCATGAACCCGTTCCACAAAGCGATCTTAGTGCTAAGTTGGTCGTAACTGCCATACTTCAGCATAGGCTTACGATCAACGTAGCACTAAGATCGCTTTGTGGAACGGGGCCCATGTCCGCAAGTTTTAGGTTGAATCTTGCTGGTATCCCGGGATATGAATTCTCCAACAACTGAAATCACTTACCCTGCTCTAAAACCGAACCGAGAGTGAATCTTGCTGCTAATTTTCTTCATAGTCACGCGCAGTTTGTTCAGTGTGATAGAGATCCGATTTTCCTCTATTTTATGGACATTTCCTTGCAATAATTGTCCTTGTTATTTCAAGGTAAATGACTCTTAAGGACGTGAAAACAGAAACTAGTGACCTCTTTGTTTCGTTAGACTCACTGTGGAAATATGTAATGCTGTTTCAGCTATAATACACTACCGGACAAAAGAAAATATACAACCCTGTTTATGGTGGCTAAAAATGACACAAACAAGAAATGTTTATTGGATGGTGTTGTATTTGATACATAGTTTAATTGTGCTTTAAGTTTGCAGTGTTTCGGCGACTGTTTTCAGCCTGATAAACGTTAATATTTTGTATTTTGGGTGTCAAATCCAAGTTTAAGTGTATACACAATGCATTTTCCTTTGCCCGGCAGTTTATTTCCAACACCAAAAATGGTTTCGAGGCACTGCAACTCGCTGTCAGAGTTGCGCCCCTTGCGCCCCTTAGATGGGGTTTTATTTTGGCTGGACTAACGAGTCTATACATAGTCCAATCAAAATCGCGTGATGAAATCTACATCCGGTTCGTAAACTGCCGTGCAGATTTCGGCCGATTGTAGGATTTGCAAAGCATGCGTACCACCAACTCGGCGTCAACAGATATTTTCCCAATCTTTTCATGTTTTTTATTAAGGTGCTCACGTGATTTGATGTACTTCGCAAAGGAAGACCCGTTTTTTCACAATATGGATTTCGATTATCAATCGGTTCGTTTTAACTGGGCAGCCATTTTGTGTGAAGCAAATGCAAGTGATATGAGAGGTGGAATCTGATTGGTCAATAGAAGGGAGCTAGCAGGCACATAACTCGTAATTCCAGCCTAGACTAGTTCGGCAAGGGTGGAAACTGGACCTTTACTGTCACTTATCTCCATTGCCTCGGGAAGATTACTTTCGCAATGTTGGCAGCGATATATCACGATGTTAAGTTCGTGTGAAAGATTGTTATACATTGTGAACAGCTCGTGATATACTCGTAATTAGCTCCTAATGCGTTCATGATACGTCGTGAGAGATCGTGGTTGGTTCACGATGTCTGAGAAATTTTGAACATATTCAAAATATATCCAATAATCGTGTTGTATCGTGTCCTGCACGTTTGATACTTGTATTGTGCTCAGTATTGTTCATGGTAAGCTCTTGAAATCGATGTGAATCCGTAATGACGTCGTGCAGTATTTGTGACCGGACGTGAACACGATGTTTTCATGATAGACACAATGTGACTGAGTGAGTTAGGTTTAAGGCCGCTTTTAACAGTACTCCAGTTACATCACGGCGTGTCAGCTTAATGTGGGAGGAAAGCCTGAAGTGATGCAGGTCTCAGACGTTTACCACTTCGGTGAAACCCACGAGCACGGGTATGGTGCTGACAAACCTAGAAACGTAATCAGGGGCGAACCGGGATTCGAACCCACAATCATAGGTTTCTGGCGTGCCTAAGGGATGCAACTCTGCACAGCGAATCGCGGCGCCTCAGATGACTGGGCCACCCGTGCCCCCGAGACACAATTTGAGTAACATTTATATGAGCACAACACGTTTTCATGGGGAAAAGCAAACTACGTCCTTGTAACGAGTATGATGCGATGTTTATCATGTGTTGTATACACATTTCTTGCCTGTGCTCTACGATTTTGTCACATGGGGACGAGCGGTGACGCAAGATCAGATCTCAGTTCTCGCTCCTGCTAAACAAACTGAGTGGCACTTAAATCTTATTTTAATGCGAGATTGGCGCAAGATCATTACGAGCATAAATACGGGTCGCGTCCCTCGACAGCAACAGTTTATAGCGAGTTTCAGAAGAGCCCAGTGATTTTCCAGGGTTTAATATCAGTTTGCAACAGGTTTCAGGTTTTCAGTGTTTAATATCAGCATGTCACCTCGAAGGAAGCCAGGAAGCAGGTTGAGGACCAGATAGCCACTGCGTCACAGGTGGAGAAGGACACCATCTCCCACACTTAGTTGTTGTTGTTTAACGCGGCACTCAGCAATATTCCAGCTATATGACGGCGGTCTGGAAATAATCGAGTCTGAACCAGACAATACAATACAATGACCTACATTGACATTTCTGGTATCTGCTGGTCCGATGTACTTCAAACGATACACGAGAACAGGCTCACATATGAAGAAAAGGTGTCTCCATAATATTTTACATCAAATTGGGGAAAAAGGGAGTCAGGTGGTTTTTTTTCAAGGAAGGTTTACTACCAATGTAGGGCAGGATATCCTTACCCTTGGATCCTTGAAGTCTTCATTGATTTTCAGTGATTAATTCATATTTTCTTTACCACATTTTTGTTGGTTATTCTCGGATGCTTTATAGTTTTTGGCAGTTAGAAGTTGTGGTAACAGTGAAGACAGGGTTGACCTCTGGATGTCCACTTCTCTATTCTTTCAATGCAATGTTTTGGTACAGATGCTTGTACCTGTATCAAGTACCCAAGTGATGAAGGTTGCATCTGTACTCAAACGGCCTATGGAAAGTTTAAAGATTTGTTTGTTTGTTGTTTAACTCTGCATTCAACAATATTCCATCTGTATGATGTCGGTCTGTAAATAATCGAGTCTAGACCAGACAATCCAGTGATTGATATAAGCATCGATACACGAATGCATAAAGCATTGATGACATGCATCAACCAAGTCAGCGAGCCTGACCACCCGATCCCTTTAGTCGCCTCTTACAACAAGCACAGTCACCTTTTACGGCAAACATTGGTTGCTGAAGACCTATTCTACCCTGGATTTTCACAGGTTGACCCCAACATCGGACAAAATAAGTAATCAATCACGGTTTTACTGAAAGAACAACATCAACTCATATCATGAGAAGCTTTATGTCAATAACATACAAAAAATGCAACACAGCATACAATATGCAATTTTTCCAAAACATACAGTTAGTGATATGTTAATATGTATTCCAGCATCAAAACAACTTCACATAAGGCTAAACGAAATAAAAGAATTGGTTCTCAGGCAATGGTTTTTGAAAATGTAGTGCGGGCCGGAGGTGACTTTTTTTTTTTGTAGTTCAAACTAGTATGTACCCAAATCAACCGTTGTGAAACCAAATAAACAATTGTGTACAGTCAACCTGAGAAAAGGTCTCCCTACCTACATGACCTAAATGTATTCCTTGATGAGTAAAATACTGGAATATTGTATTTGACTACTGTTGGATTTGAATGGAAATAAAAACAAAACATGGGGCGACCTTTATGATGATGCAGGCGGTGCCTGAGAACCAAGACTATTATTTTTTTTAACCTACAGGATATTTGAACATCGAAAGTCAATTTTACTGTATCCAACAATGCCTGTGTAGTAATCCTTGATGCAATCTATGTGAAGCATATCAATAAGGCCAGACAACTATCATGACTATAACCTTCTTCACAAGATAAGCGAGACATCAATACTTCAATACTTACATACACTAATTCTCTGCATGTTACTCCCAGTACACAAACAAAAGTTTGCAAAACAAATGTCAAATATTGTAATGCATTGTGACCTCTCCATATCACGGTAGCCTGTACGCCACGGTTTGTTTGTTGTTAAACGCCACACTCAGCAATATTCCAGCTGTATGACGGTGGTCTGTAAATAATTGAATCTGGACCAGACAATCCAATGAGTGACATCATGAGCATCGATCCAAGCAATTGGGACACGATGACAAGCATCAACCAAGTCAGCAAACCTGACCACCTGATCCCGTTAGTCACCTCTTACAAGAAAGTCGCCTCTTATGGCAAGCATGGATTGCTGAAGATCTTCACAGGCTCTGTACGCCATGTACACCTGCCAGTCTGTCTCCCCTCTATCATGTCTATGAATCATAGTTCATTCTATTACTTGTGATTACCCATCTTCCTGAGGCAAGAGAGTTAACTGACTTTAAAAGTCCAGTTTCCACCCCTGCCGAACTAGGCTGGAATTCCTGAGCTCAATCGTAACGCCACCAGTGGCTATTACCAGTTATGTCCCTTCTAAGTCTCTCCTATGGACCAATTAGATGCCACCTCTCATATCACTTACATTTGCTTCAAACAAAATAGCGGTGCCCAGTAAAGACGATCTGACGGATGATCAGTATCTATATTGTGATAAAACAGGTCTTACATCGTGAAGTGCATCAAATCACTTGAGCACCTTGATTAAAAACATGAAAAGATTTTGAAAATATCTGTTGGCGAGTCAGCGGTGCACATGCTTTACAAATCCTGCAATCAACCGAAATCTGCATGACAGTCTACGAACCGGAATTCGATTCTGTTGCACAATTTTGATTGGACTATGCAAAAACATTTTAGTCCAGCCAAACTGTAACTCCATAATACCAGCCTAGTTGGGAAAAGGTGGAAACAGGACTTTTAAAGTCAGTTAACTCTCTTGCCTCGGGAAGATGGTGATTACCCAGTATGAAAATCCCTCAGCTGTCTCTGACTTTGATAAAAACTTTTTTCAATGACATACTTCATTTGCAATTTACAACATGTACAATATATCTTTGGCCGGATTCTGGAGAAGCTTTTCTCTCATAGTTAAGACACTGCCATACAAACAAACTTATAGAACACTGACAGGTTAAACTGGCAAACACAGCACTTGATGACATACAATGCATCATCTAATTATGCAAACTCTGCAGCAAAGTAGCCTTCTTCAACTAACTGAACTAATGACTAATCTGACACAACAGCAGCACACTTTTCCACACGGAATACAATTGGCCACCCATCCAAATATATATTTTTAACATTTACCCTTTCAGCCTTGAATTCAAACTTAAAAAAGTAAACATCACTTGCAAGTCTCTTCCAGTAAACACATTGCCAAAAAACAAATATGCCACATCCAAAAGAGGGTAATTAAAGATCTCAAACTTGAGGACTGAATATGGTACGTCCTTTACACAGATAGACCAACAAGACATACATAATTACCTGTTTTATTTTAACAGTAGTTTTCAGATCATTTTTTTTCAATACTACGTATATTTATAAAAGAAACATGCCGACAATATATGTTTTTGTTTGTGTTGTTTGTTGTTTAACGCCGCACTCAGCAATATTCCAGCTATATGATGGCTGTGTGTAAATGATCAAGTCTGGATTAGACAATCCAGTGATTGACATCATGATCATCGATCCACGCAATTGGGATACGATGACATGCACAACCAAGTCAGGGAGGCTGACTACCCGATCCCGTTAGTCGCCTTTTACGAAAAGCATAGTTGTCTTTACGGCAAGCATGGGTTGTTAAAGACCTATTCTACCTTGATCTTCACTGGTATGGAAAAATACAAACTGCATGATCAATATACCATGGTATGATACATGTCCGAGACTTCAAGCGAGAGGATAAGCATGATGACTTATGAAGGTATATAACAGCTACCTAAAGGAATTAGCTTAACAGTCTACAGCAATTTGAGTCAATCTAAAATGCAATAAACAAAAAATAAAACAAACAAAAATACATCTGACAGATTTGGCTCATAACATGCATAATGTATAACTACATGTACTGACTTAATTTCCATTAGTGGTCAGATAAAAGGATTAAACAATTTTTGATGATTATTAATTGTAGATTAACCAAGACAATAAAGCCAGTGAGGGGCAAACCATTTCGTGTTTTAGGGGTGGGTGGGTGGGGTGGAACTGGGATTATATTTTTTAAATATTATTTCTTTATGAAAAGGCTGAAATGTTTGGTACATAATCAAATTGAATATGCTTGTTGTTTTTAAAAATAACTTGTGTTGAGGGTACAGAAAATTGTCCATCTTGAAGCACTGACTGAAAAAATATTCTGTCTCTTAAAAAGCCCAGGCCTCCCCTGATTGTTAAATGGTCAGCCCCATAGTACTAAAGGCCTCTTACAAATGAGTTGTCTGTAGTCACACACAAACAATGTCACACTGTAACTGAAATAATTCAGTCTGACAGAATAAAGGAATAAATAATCAGCCACTCTTCTAAAAATCAGATCTTTAACTCTGATACACTAATCTAAGACTTCCTGAACAATCGCTCAACACAGGGGCTTCAAATTAATCAGTAGAAGTAGACAAAGCATTCAGACCAGCATATCTCGAAAAGACCAGTTCTGAATGTAAATAATAAAGGCTGAGCCATTATGTTGTTGTGGATATGTTATACACACAGTCATTTCTGAGTGCCTACAACGAAAGGTAAAACCATTGAATATGTGTGTTCTGTGTGGATTTTCCGTTTGTTTAGTTGAATTGTGAAGATAAACATCTGATTGGCTCAAGAAGCCACACATCCCTCATTTAGATTGGAGGGTCATGGTGCACCTGACAGGACCTACTGTACTGCACATATCTTCATATGCAATGTCTGCTCAAAGTGTTGCATTATTACACACCGGCCATTTGATCAGTGAGCACTAGACATTTCATTCTCAACTCCCTGGGGAGTATACAACCAAGGCTGCCTGTGAGGCACGACAAGGTTAACAGTCACATTACCATCTCATCTTACAACTATTTTAACAATGCATGAAAGGACCTTGGTTTTTATTCTCAGCTCCCTGGGGAGTATACAACCCAAGCTGCCCGTGAGGCGCTAGAAGGTTAACAGTCACATTACCATCTCATCCTAAATAGTTTTTTAACCATGCATGAAACTTTGTTAACCTTGTAAACATGCAGGCTTTCTTTGCTGGACACAAGCCAAGTGTGGATACGTGGCCATAGTGCAGACAAGCAACAGTATTCAGTTCAGTATGTTTTCTACAAACCACTTTATTGGTGACAGATGACAGTCATGTGACCTCAGGTCCAGAACTCAGTTTCTACCTGCAGCCAGACCATTTCACATGTTTACTTTTACAAATTTTCTCAGTTAATATGGCTAAAGTTGAACTAAAGAAATGAAATGTAGTTCTTAGTTGATTAATGTAGTTCTTAGTTGATTAATGTAGTTCTTAGTTGATTAATGTAGTTCTTAGTTGACTAATGTAGTTCTTAGTTGATGAATGTAGTTCTTAGTTGACTAATGTAGTTCTTAGTTGACTAATGTAGTTCTTAGTTGATGAATGTAGTTCTTAGTTGATTAATGTAGTTCTTAGTTGACTAATGTAGTTCTTAGTTGATTAATGTAGTACTTAGTTGATAAATGTAGTTCTTAGTTGATTAATGTAGTTCTTAGTTGATGAATGTAGTTCTTAGTTGATTAATGTAGTTCTTAGTTGATTAATGTAGTTCTTAGTTGACTAATGTAGTTCTTAGTTGATGAATGTAGTTCTTAGTTGATGAATGTAGTTCTTAGTTGATTAATGATGCCCTCAGCAATATTCCAGCTATATGACATTGAGAAATGTTATCAGATTTCATTTAGGGTTAATTTAAAAAACAAACAAACAAATCTTTGAAAAGTCTTAAAAATGCAAACAAAAACAACAGCAGGATGCTCCTCAAAATAAAATCCAGATTAGAAGCCCCAAAGCAGCACTACTATTCAGGAACAACCCTCACTTAGATGCTGATATTAATGTGTTAAGAATAATCTAGCATGATATCATATCTGTATCATATTCTGTATCACCAAGAGCCTATTTGTTCACTTTAAAAACATTCAGGGTTGGATAGTTTCACTTCCCCTTCAACAATCAGAATATACAGATATACAATATATGTACAAAACTTAACAGCCTATATACAGAATGCAGCATTAACTGGAAGCAGCCATCCCGTCTCCTCCATTGGACTCGCCACCTGTGCTCGGACCTGGGTGTACAGAAAACAAAAGTTACGGACAAGCAACCAGTAATATATATACATGTACACTTATAAACCTCTGGACCCGTGAAGATCCAGAGTAGAATAGGTCTTCAGCAACCCATGCTTGCCGTAAAAGGAGACTATGCTTGTCGTAAGAGGCGACTAACGGATTGGGTGGTCAGGCTCGCTGACTTGGTTGATGCATGTCGGCGTATCCCAATTGCGTGGATCACTGATGTCAATCACTGGATTGTCTGGTCCAGACTTGATTATTTCCAGACCCCCGTCATATAGCTGGAATATTGCTGAGTGCGGCGTTAAACAACCAACAAACAAACAAACTATAAACCTCTGATGACGCCACACTACAGTAACAGAAGGTTCTTCTAAATGACCATAAACTTCCAAAGCAGGCAATATCAACAATGCCCGGGGCGTTCTGGTGGAATGCTCTGTACCTGATAAATACATTTCAAATCGTAATACCAAGGTTTTACAGTTTTAAAAACTTGCCTCTTGATGTGAACACAATTGTGTTTGATGACAGGTTAAAAGTCACATATTTTTTTTTACATGTAAATTCCAAGACGTGAATTGAACCTGCAACCTCACATATCGTGAAGAGTTTTGTAACCCACTGGTTTCCAACTGAGCTACAGGTGCAGGTGATGAGAAGCTAGTCGATGCTTGCACCTGTTTTATCTCTCACACGCTTTGAGCGAATTCCTTTCATACCGTGATACACTATATTTTTTCACTAAAAGGTATGTCGATGTTTTTTATTTCATCTGGTATTTCTTGCATTTAGTCTGTTCATAAGTTGGATAAAACACATGTTGAAAAACACATTAGGGTCTGAAGCATGTTATAGTGGTTAGGGGTTGGTTTGGTAATCAGAATCACAGGATTTCCTTTGTTAGGCTCTAAAAATCTACCGCTTACCAAAATCTAGCTCTTGTGTATATCATGTCAGCTGCCTGCCATTGAAACATGGAGTGAGTCGGCCTGTTATTACCTCAAACTGCGGTCATAACATTATGACAGGTATGTGTTTAGATAGGGAATTGTTTGTATTGTTGTTTTTTTTTGTTTAGCGATGCACTCAGCTATATGCCAGCAGTCTGTAAATAATCCACCTTCTACCCCGGATCTTCACGAGTCAGATAGGGAATTAATAAGGGAGTATAGCGATATCAACATTTCAGTCAAAAACCCAAGGGAAATATTTTTTTTAAATTTCAGGAAAATATGAGGGGTAATCAGCCACCACAGTCTGAATAGGATTTATGAAGTTAGAATCCTCGGCCATGATGTAGGGTCGGATCCCATCGCGGCTCTCCGCTATGCCATACGCTACTCCACCTCACTCAGAAACGTGATCGCCATGATGGCCGATCCCATATGTAGGGAAACATGGGATACTACTTTCGTTTCATTACTGTAATTTATGTTTTGTAAATACCAAACACTGGCTGGTTTTGTTATGTTGTTTGATTATCATGTACGACATCTACAAGATTTTAGCACAATAACGATAAACAGTAAAGTTTAAATTTACGCAGAGCAGTCTTTGATGGACAGCTTACAGTAATCTTTTATGATAAAAATTTGACTCATTTTATGTTTATGACGGCATTTTTTAGTTGTTTGACGCTAAACAGTAAAATCCCATCATGACTGTCTATAAAGTCGTTGAGTGTGGGGCATAAATGTCAAATTGCAGCATGGTATCTCAGTGGGCTTCCACAAAACAGCATTAGTCCTGATTAATACAAGCAGCTACAAACAAGCATGGACAATGCCATTTAAGTGCCATATGGTTGAACGGAATGTCAAACCCAATTTCACCTCGCCCAAATTGCATAAAATATTTCCAAATTCATGTTGTTAGTTTTAACTTATGTTATAAGTAGGAATTTCACTGATAACAGGACCAGTACTGCGGGAGGGGCTTTAATGTTTAGTCTTAAGTCTTCAGTAAAATGCACTAGCATTTCAGCTATGTCGCGATAGACAGTTTTGTTTGTTGTTTTTACGCCACACTCAGCAATATTCCAGCTATATGACGGCGGTCTGGAAATAATCGAGTCTGAACCAGACAATCCAGTGTTTGACATCATGAGCATTGATCCGCACAATTGGGATCGATGACATGCATGAGCCTGACCACCCGACCCCGTTAGTCGCCTCTTACGACAAGCATAGTCGCCTTTTATGGCAGGCATGGGTTGCTGAAGACCTATTCTACCCTGGTTCTTCACGGGTCACTGTGAGCAACATTCCATGCTACTGGCGTACAATGATCAAACTGGAAATGTATCAACTAACACTAGACGACGTGTCAAAGCTCTTTACACACCTGCCCCGTTGTCGTGGTGATCCTCTGGACCGTGACCCTGGTAGCACTTCTTTTTATGGCCACGACAATGATGCGAACATCCATCTTCACCTTCATCTTCTGAAGATGATTCTCCAAACGATCTGGGCTTTTCATAAACACAACAACCTGGAGGACAAATCACAAGACATGAGACCTAACATCATCTTGTCTGATTATATACCACGCAACAGCTGGTAGGGGCACTGGACTCTTTTAACCCTATTACAAAACTAGTGGACAAAATATTATTGATTCATGTACTCTTGTTTAATCAATTGAAACGAAGCAAAGCATCATTCAGTTCCACTGCAATATCAGATACCATGGATACTGTTTGTTTGACATCACTTCCAAATGTTGGTCTCGTTCAGCTCCAAACAGTACATTGAGTGAGTGAGTGAGTGAGTGAGTGAGTGAGTGAGTGAGTGAGTGAGTGAGTGAGTGAGTGAGTGAGTGAGTGAGTGAGTGAGTGAGTGAGTGAGTTGGGTTTAACGCCGCTTTTAACAGTATTCCAGTCATATCGCGGCGTGTCAGCTTAATGTGGGAGGAAAGCCCCAAGTGATGCAGGTCTCAGACGTTTACCACTTCGGTGAAACCCACGAGCACGGGTATGGTGCTGACAAACCTAGAAACATAATCGGGGCGAACCGGGATTCGAACCCGCAATCATAGGTTTCTGGCGTGCCCAAGGGACACAACTCCACACAGTGAATCGCGGCGCCTTAGAAGACTTGGCCACCCGTGCCCCTCTAGTGAGTGAGTGACACACTCATGCGAGGTAGGTCTTAGACATTTACCACTTTGTTAAAACCATCCATAATGGCTATAGTACCAGTACCGACAAACTAAAGATTATGATTGATGATAATCAGAGATTTGAACCCATAATCTTAAAATCCTGGTATGATTAAGGGATACTGGGCCACCTACAGCCCCAAAGAGTAATCAAAAAAATTACAAAAAAAGGGAAAAAAATAACGGTAGTGAACATGCTGAAGACTGGTGTGGAAAAGGGAGGGGTTTGAGACTACTTGCCTGAACAGGGCTCTTAAAATCATTTTAGTATAGCTTATATTCATCACATTGACTATCATTGGTTGAGTTTTCTGGACCAAACAGAATTTCTCTAGACTCTGGCTTCCGACTAGTGTCGAAATTTGTAGAATGCGGAGGTCATACCTGTCTTGTCGACACTAACATGTCTCGACTCACCTATCAACATGTTCATATCATGCCCAGTGTTTAATATTACCGACTGTCTATCCCTAACTTGCCATGTCTTTAGTTTTCTAAGAATCTGTCAGTTGTTTCAACAATGTCAGAAGTCATTTTTACCATAGTGTGTGCAGGTGAAGTCGACAATTTGGTATAATTTCTTGTATCGCTGTGTTGATATAGGTATGTACCTTTAACAGCTTAGCCTTAGTTGACATCACCTGACCAGGGTCATCAGTCTTTCATTTGGCCACTCCGAGTGTCTCTTTGAAATTTAATACCCCTAACGCAACAAATTTATTTCCATCATGTGCACTCGGTTCAAAGATGGTGGCACCCATGGTGAAACAGTTAATGGTCGATACCAATTTAAAAACATATTTAGACAAACTTTTGGATGTATTTGTGCACAGGTTTGTACTTATTTCGTTCAAAAATAGAAGTCATATTAATTCATGAGTGAGTGAGTATGGTTTAACGCCGCTTTTAGCAATAATACAGCAAAATCATGGCTGGGCACACCAGAAATGGGCTTTACACATTGTGCCCATTGTCGGGATTCGAACCCGGGTCTTCGGCGTGACGAGCGAACGCTTTAACCTGACTCCCCCCATTAATTCATGAGTTCACAAGTTCACTATTCGACATAATAAGCGCCCAGGGCGTTCTCAAAATTATAAATAGGGGGCTCTTATTGAAATATTATTTTGGTGGAAAAAACAGTTGAAAGATTCATTTCGTGGTTTATGCTGACGGCCTGAACTGTTTATATACGACAGATATATTTTTCCATAATTTAATTGCCCATAATTAAGGGTGCATATAACACAGGAGTGGGTATTATACACGAATAAATAACTCTTGTGTACATTGATCAATTGGAAGGAGTGCTAATGGGGATTGTTCAGTAGCCAATATATTAGCAAATATCACCGTGGGCGCTTCTTATGTCGAATACGTAGTTTATTCAAAATCCATAGCAACTATACAGAAACCATTGGAGTAACCTGTCTGATATTGTGTCAATCATGCACCCATGGGGAGTTTGCAGTGTTTTCTTCAGCATGTTCACTTACAGTCAGCAATATTCAGGCTATATCATCGCAGCCCTTCAATAACAACTGGGCATTGGGCATGAGCAACAATGACAAGCATGGTATACCAGAAGTCTTGGCACACTCTGTAAAAGTTACCTATTCAGTGCTGATTTTAAGGAACTTCATTTAACTTGCACCACATGCATGTTGACATGAAAACCTAGCTGCACCAGACAAAACCAGGTTGCACTCTGTACCCATAAATTTATCAAAGTTGAAATGTGCACATAATCTTGAAGAACCCACATTTTGACTACATCAAGCACCAAAAAATGAAAAAAGCAAGGCAAATTATACATTGACTTAGTCTGGAAAATAATCTTTAGAGGTATTGAATGTGTTCAAAAGTCAATGTTGTGTGGGAATTTAACATGTTTAAGGTTCAGACAGAAATTTGAAACAAACTGACTTGCACTTGGAGCATGTAGACATAAATATTAGGATTTATTTTTCAATAATAGGTTGCAGTGGTGTATGTTTTATATAGCCTAATCGAGCCCTGCTATTCCATATACCTTCAGCTCAGAATCCCCTTGCCATGGTAGAAAGTAACAATTTTCGTCCACTAGTCCTTTTTATGATAACATAAAAAAATGGCAAATTTCTACTAATCCTTATGATACCTTAACCATGTTAACTATAAGGCAGTTTGGCAAGGACTACAGGACTATTGCCAGTTCATAACGCTGACCTTGGGGTTAACAATGGTTAAGTTGTATCATGTTTATACATAGAATACTGATCCCATAGTTACATTTGGACTTCTTCTTGCCCATGTTTTCATTGTCCACTGTTTCTGAAGTCCACTTTACTTTCTTGTCAGGTTTGGGCTTCTTCAGTTTTAACCTCAGAGGTGGACTTGGCTGAAAGAACAGTTTTGGTTTTGGTTTGGTTTTTTGTTTAACGCTGCACTCAGCAATATTCCAGCTATATGACGGCGGTCTGTAAATAATCGAGTCTGGACCAGACAATCCAGTGACTAATATCATGAGCATCGATCCACGCAATTGGGATCGATGACATGCATCAACCAAGTCAGTGAGCCTGACCACCCAATCCCGTTACCGGTAGTCGCCTTTTACGACAAGCATCTGAAAGAACGGAGATTGATTCACTGATTGACATGTTTACCACATTTGCTGTATTTATAGTGGGTAATGCACAGTGATCAATGCTAAAGCAGTCATGGCAATAAACAGAAGCAGATTTTGTCCCCTCATTCCTCATTTAAGAATATGTTCCTGAAATCATGGAAATATCAAATGAATAACATGTTACTAACAATAGCCCGAACTGGGGAATGATTATTGTGACCTGGAAAAATGGGGAAGAAAATAATTTACAGTGAGTGAGTTGGGTTTAATGCCGCTTTGAACAGTATTCCAGTTGTATCACGGCATGTCAGGTTAATGTTGGAGGAAAGCCTGAAGTGAAGCAGGTATTAGACGTGTACCCACAAGCATGGTGCTGACAAACCTGGAAAGATAATCGGGCGAACCAGGATTCGAACCCACGGGTGCCCCCCCCAAAACACTTTACAGGTGCGACCAACACCAGATATTAACGACTAGGATATTACCTAAGTCCAAAGAGTACTGAAATGAAAACCACTGTAATATAATGAAATAGCCTTGGGTCAATAGAACATCACACAATAGACAAAATAGCAATGGACACTATCAGACTATAGCACAGCTTATGAATGTATCTGGTAAAGAAGGCTTTTGGGGACAAATTAAAGTCAGTGAACCAATTAGACAATAGTGCAAGAATCAGTTAGGGGGCTGTAGACTGGCTTTGCCTGGGCCTGGTACACTGAACTCTTACTGAGCACCATTACCATTTTATTTCAATCTTATTTTGTTTGTAGGATTTGTACACAGAAAAACACTACATGAAGTGACTGAAATGCATAAACATGAAAGTACCTTATATTTTGTCAATATACAAATTGGGCTAATTGGTGTATTAATTAGCAGATGCTCTACCACTAGCCAAAGAGCACTATCACATGTAATTAGTGCTCGTTCAACGGGTTATGAGCACCTCAATAACCTGCATGCGCAATTAACTAAACAATGAATTGCACATGCATACGTATAACTGATGTCATACCCTCTCCATTGACCTTTCTGATGAAGCAACGCCTGTCAATGTCCATTAAGATGAGTAACCAGTTGAGTGATAAATTGTGTTAAAACAAACTACTCTAATCATGCTAATAGGACTACCCTCATTGGATTATTGGAAACACTGTGAAATGGCAAGAATTTATCCCTAACCCTAGCCCTAACCAGGCTAACCCTGAGAATTGAAATGGGGTGGTGGATCAGAAAGGCGTGTCAGTTCCCTAAAATCAAAAATGGTTGTTGGACCGCCATTGCGTGTCATCTCCCCGAGACAAGTGCGAGTACATTCGAGCATGAGTCATGGTAACGGCATACCGAGACAGTGGTAGTGCTATAGTCAGTTGAGCTGTTGGTAGCAGGTGAAGCTGCACCCAGAAAACTGCATTGTTGCCCATTTCTCGGCTCTCGCTAATTTTTTGTCCTGATGCTGATGTGGAATAGACCTGGCTAGACTTGGTTTTAGTTTCGTGAATAAATATATATTACACAGTCATGTTAAAGTACTATGGATATGATAAAGTCTGTTTTACAAATGGCAGACACTAATATCGTCCGATTATATGTTTTCGGACATCATACGTTTTCGGACGGCCATGTTTATCGCGAGTACTCCCGCTATAACAAGGGGTGTGGTGTCACACAGACACTGTAAATACTCAGATAATTGCCTGTTTTCTAAGATAAAGACGTCATTTATAACTGAGTGAGATGTTTGACGGTTGTTCTTGTGACTAGCGAGAAAACTACGACTGTTTCACGGGGATACGCCTAGATCATGTTGATGACAAACAAAATCATACTTTCACATTAACCAAAAATGGCATCTCAAGTTATACATTTTGGGCGAAAATGTCATCGTGGTCTGCTTATGTCAATGCACGGCACTACATAAAACACTAAACAGATCACTATGTCGCAATCAAAGACATGAATCACATCATTGCCTGTGCTTAGTTTTTCAACGAGCAGCGTCTAGACGAACTTAATTTGATGTTGGTGAGAGAAAAGAACCCTCACCGGTGACTCCTGTATGATAGTTTCTGTCACGGTCACGTCTGTAATACTTGTACTGCCTCCTTCAGCCATCATTAAACGGTTAACGTCGAAATTGCTCCAGTTCGCGTAAGATTTCAGATTATGCGACTCAGCGATCAGTCATTTTCCTGTAAAGTAATAATTTCCGGTGATGGTAGAATTTAGAGTTACCTGCCCATGACTATTCGAGCGCTCTGTTCCAATTATGTTCGACATGGGATCGAGAACGTTCTAGAAGCGCTGCGCATTCGATAGATCTTGTAATCTAAAACTTGATATTGGTTATAAATCGTTTAAGTTCTTTTCATTGCTTACTTTTTCATGTTATGGACTGAAAACATCAATTGGAGATTGTAATTCAAGGCAATAAGTAAGTGATTGTAATAAAATATGACATTAAAAACGCGCTATGAACTTGGGAAACTCTTATCTGCCAAGGTCAAAAACCTATTTGTAACGTTCCCTCACTGTACTAAGCGTTCCCTCACTGTACTAAGCGTTCCCTCCCAATAACAGTCGCGTTCCCTTGAACTAACTTTCGCGTTCCCTAGCTGAACCATATCGTTCACTCGCTATATAGTTTGACGCCCAATGTGGATCAAGCAAGAGGCGGCACCGACTACGAGATTGTTACACCAAAGAAAAGGAAATCCGTATTTAAAATTGTCTTGGAATATGTGCATTGGATGTTTCGTTTATCGTAATTACACTACTATCTAGATGGGTCTAATGTAGGTCAAACATCTACTTTCATTTCGTTACTCAGTTGATTATGAGCATTGTTATGTTGATACACGTGACATAATAATAATAATAATAATAATAATAATAATAATAATAATAATAATAATAATAATAATAATAATAATAATAACAACTACAGATTTATAAAGCGCTGGTATCCAGTTCGAAGAACTGCTCAAAAGCGCTTCATTTGAGTCTACACAAAAAAAGAGACATTACACAGCTAGGAAAACACAAAGCCTCAATACTCTAAAAAAGATTTGGTGAAAAGATAGGTTTTGAGTCTTGATCGGAACAAAGTAGGACTGTCAATGTATTGTTCCAAAGGTAAGAAATAGTTGCTCAACTTCTGGTGTTTCAAATTAGGCCTCTTCCAAAATACTAGTTGAAAATCTGTTTAATAATTGAAGCTTTAAAAGTATAATCTGATTAGTGTGTGGTATAACTGTTGAATGCATGTGACCAAAACGAAACAAATAGGCTACCTGTCATATTCGAATATACTAGTTGAAAATCTGTTTAATAATTGAAGCTTAAAAAGTATAATCTGATTAGTGTGTGGTATAACTGTTGAATGCATGTGACCAAAACGAAACAAATAGGCAACCTGTCATATTCGAATTGAACTCAAACAATCTTGCCGTTAATACTTGTTTCGCCCATAACAATACGCCATAAAAAGTCGAGCGCGTAGTCGAAGATTTGCCGTGTTTAGTAACCACTCGGGATTAACCCTCTATGTAACAAACGTCAGTTTCGCATTTATGGATCGTTAAACATTTACCGAAACTGTTGTTGTGCTGCTGTTCTCCCGTAATTATATACATCACAATACAATTTGACAACAAATGCATCGAATGTGTCACATGTACACATGACCATGTGCTTTGCCATGTAAAGCGAAACCCTAAAAAAGCTCCGCCCACTGTGATTTATGCAGACGCTCAAACATGCCGAATCGTTATTTTTATGATAAAACTACAGAAAATGAATTGACTTATATCTAAATATGGAGCCATTGGTGGTATCCAAGGTTTATCATTCAAGTTAATATGAAGTTTGATGCACTTTGGTGATCTTGCTTACGTACGGATATCAAAAAGCTTCTCTCGATATTCGGTTGTGTTGCCAGTCACTGTTCGAAGCCGAAACACCGACACTTTCCGGGCTATTTCATAATCAGGGTGGGGCTTTAACCTGTTGAACTTGTTATATGTTTTCTTTTGGGGAAGACATAATCACACACCAGAACAGGGGGACACAAAGTGTTCTATAACGAAATGGGTGTGCATTCTTCAATGTAACAATGCCACTGAACCAGTGTCATCTACAGGTAGGTTGTTTTGCTGAGTAGAGTACGAATGCCATGAGGTTATGGCGCTTCCAATAATGCTGCCCAAATGGATTCAGCTTGATGTGATTCGTAAAGGTCCAGGTTATATTCAAAGTTGTTTGATTAAATACTACACCGTGTGAACTCAGGGTCAGATTATACGTTCTCAGCATCAAATGTTCCCCGACTACAATGATGGTTTGGTGAATAGCATGTGTGTTCTGGCTCACTGTGTGTCGTCGTATAGGAACATAGGGTATCGTTGCTCATGCCGTTAACACTGGTTTGTCCAGACCAGAATTGATTATTGATTGTCGTGACATTACTGTAATATCATTGAAAAACAACTCGCTCGAACACAATCGCCTACATGTTGGTGGAATGCAGGTGAGTCCAAAACAAGGCTCATGAGGTGTCACTTGTATTAAAAAGCTTTGAACGACGTCATCAACCCAATAAAAGCCACAGGGAAACCACCATCCAGCCATAAGCTAGAACCACCAGGAGCAGTGTACCACATTCCATGCAATTGTGGACAAGCTTACACGGGAGAAACATCTAGGCCCCTCAAAACCCGAATTAAAGAACACCAAAGCTCAGTCTTCATAGATGACTCTAAATCAGTCCTGTCAGACCACATCCGTGACAACCCATGCCACAGCATTCGGTGGGATAAAGTCAAAGCCCTCACCACCAACCTTAAAGACTTCAAAATCAGAAAACTACAAGTAGCCATCAACATCAAAAGACTCCAACCGTCAATCAACCGTGACCAAGGCTATTACATACCCCCGGCGTTTATATTACTCCTGTTGTTTATACTACTGGCTTCCATCTTTGTTTATGTCACTGACTTCACCGATGATTGTCGTTAGTAAAGTCTACCCTTGTGTGTACATAACAGGCTTCTCAACTCCAGTATAACATCTGTTATCTGCTCTTCTGTATTAACATTGCCGCCTACCTGTATATATACATGTTAACCCTTCTCTGTATATCACGTTCTTGATAACGGTGTTAGAACCTACACCGAATCGTCGCGCTTAATTTTAATAAAGAAGTTGTTCATCCATAAATTCTTATCCTTAATTAGTACTACAACTTCTAAATGCCTATCAAAGAAGTTGTGAAAACAATGTCGTTTAAGTCATTGCAAATCGACAATGATTGTGTTTAACGTACCGTTTGTCGAATATCAGGCCACCAACATTTTCCAATAACATGTATCCAATTTATATACCGGATTTTTTGTGTAGTCATGTGCGTTTCTTTTTTTTTACCCCGATTATGTTTCTAGGTTTGTAAGCACCATACCCGTGCTCGTGGGTTTCACCGAAGTGGTAAACATCTGCGACCTGCATCACTTCGGGCTTTCCTCCCACATTAAACTGACACGCCGTGATATAACTGGAATACCGTTGAAAGCGGCGATAAACCCAACTCACTCACTCACTATATTTCAAACAAGGGGGCTAACTCGACTTTACTTTACATTACATTCGGATGCTTCCATTTTACAATCACTGTGAAAAAGAAGCGGACTTAAAATACCGGCAAATTCACATATGTCACTATCGGGTGTGATCGTCATAACAGGCGTGAGAACGGCGGCGCCTTTAAGTTACCAGAAAAACAGCCCGGGGGATGTTGTTCTAAATGGCAAACAATAATTGGTTCAACAGAGCTGACGTTACGCGCTGGTTTTGGTACTGTCGTAGGAATTGTCTTAGCTGTTAATGTGTCAGTTTGGTATCGATTCCGTAGATGCACCAACCGAATATTTTTGTCTTCTTGATGTGACGTTACCATGTGGACGACCGGCTCGTGGCAGGCCATGAGCTTTGCTGTGCTGTGCTGTAGATAACGTCTAAACAGAGATGATATTGTGATGAACATTAGAATGTCTGGTAATTTCGTTTCGGCACCATTCTTGTTTGCAGCATACCGCACAAAAACGTTGATTTCCAGCATTTTCAGAAAGCCGTGGCATTGCGTGACAAAACTCGGAAATGCATCATTTTCAGAATTAAGTGGGTTTTTTTTATAAATTTGTATGTTTTTGATGTTTTTGGTTTTGATTGTTTGTTTGTTTGTTTTAAGCTTCTTCTTTTCTTTTTTTTCTTATTTTTTTTTTTTTGGGGGGGGGGGGGGGGGGATCTCAATATTAAAAGATGTGTTATTTTATTTTGTACTAACTGCATTGTTATTGAACTTCATATGAAGCACAGTTACTTTGTTCCGTTAGTATATGAGTAATATATATTTCATTGTGTCTGTTAAGGTGAACATAAAACGTACAAGTAATGTCGAAGACAAGTTTATTAAACCACTGCGGAACAACACTTGACAAACTATCAATGAAGCCAAATGCCACCCGAGTGTCTGGTAGTTTTACATTATCCAATAAATGTCAGGTTGTGTACCACTGGTGTTCTGGCTTTGCTTTTGTGACACAGCTTGTAGGGTATAGTTGTGAAGAACCCCACAGGGAGATAAAAAAAAAAAGCATTGAAGCCAATGAAGCACAACCGACTATGAATACACTTTCGTCGAATCACCAACGTAGTATGTTTAAGAGCAAGTAAATGAAAAGAAATTCAAATATCAGAATAAAGTCTACTACATACATGTCATTTATGATTCAAAGGGTGAGTGCGTAAGAAGGTTTTACTTCTATTAACAATATTCCAGCAATATCACGCCGTGGGACACCAGAAATGGGCTTCACACATTGTACCCATGTTGGAATCGAACCCGGGTCTTTGGTGTGACGAGCAAACGCTTTAACCACTACGCTACCCGACCACCCCATGATTCAAAGGGAGTGTTCAAGCTTGATCAAAAGCTTACATGTGAATCGATACTTGTTGTTGTAACAAACTTCTCTTCTCAAATTCTATAGGAATTCAAGCTGACGATCAATCCAAGCAGCAATGTATTCCACGACTGGTTTCTATCTAATCACAATAATAACAATAATAACAATGATAACAATGATAACAATAATAACAATGATGTGTTGACCAAGCAAAACAACAAATCGTCGATGTTCACTTGAATGGGAACGCAATTTATCCAATTAAATCAAATAAACATCTGTAGTTTAAAAGAATCTGTTTTCTAAAAGTCGTATGGGTTTTGTTTGTTTGTTTGTTATTTAACGCCGCACCCAGCAATATTCCCGCTATATGACGGCAGAATAATTGGTTCAACAGAGCTGACGTTACGCGCTGGTTTTGGTACTGTCGTAGGAATTGTCTTAGCTGTTAATGTGTCAGTTTGGTATCGATTCCGTAGATGCACCAACCGAATATTTTTGTCTTCTTGATGTGACGTTACCATGTGGACGACCGGCTCGTGGCAGGCCATGAGCTTTGCTGTGCTGTGCTGTAGATAACGTCTAAACAGAGATGATATTGTGATGAACATTAGAATGTCTGGTAATTTCGTTTCGGCACCATTCTTGTTTGCAGCATACCGCACAAAAACGTTGATTTCCAGCATTTTCAGAAAGCCGTGGCATTGCGTGACAAAACTCGGAAATGCATCATTTTCAGAATTAAGTGGGTTTTTTTTATAAATTTGTATGTTTTTGATGTTTTTGGTTTTGATTGTTTGTTTGTTTGTTTTAAGCTTCTTCTTTTCTTTTTTTTCTTATTTTTTTTTTTTTGGGGGGGGGGGGGGGGATCTCAATATTAAAAGATGTGTTATTTTATTTTGTACTAACTGCATTGTTATTGAACTTCATATGAAGCACAGTTACTTTGTTCCGTTAGTATATGAGTAATATATATTTCATTGTGTCTGTTAAGGTGAACATAAAACGTACAAGTAATGTCGAAGACAAGTTTATTAAACCACTGCGGAACAACACTTGACAAACTATCAATGAAGCCAAATGCCACCCGAGTGTCTGGTAGTTTTACATTATCCAATAAATGTCAGGTTGTGTACCACTGGTGTTCTGGCTTTGCTTTTGTGACACAGCTTGTAGGGTATAGTTGTGAAGAACCCCACAGGGAGATAAAAAAAAAAAGCATTGAAGCCAATGAAGCACAACCGACTATGAATACACTTTCGTCGAATCACCAACGTAGTATGTTTAAGAGCAAGTAAATGAAAAGAAATTCAAATATCAGAATAAAGTCTACTACATACATGTCATTTATGATTCAAAGGGTGAGTGCGTAAGAAGGTTTTACTTCTATTAACAATATTCCAGCAATATCACGCCGTGGGACACCAGAAATGGGCTTCACACATTGTACCCATGTTGGAATCGAACCCGGGTCTTTGGTGTGACGAGCAAACGCTTTAACCACTACGCTACCCGACCACCCCATGATTCAAAGGGAGTGTTCAAGCTTGATCAAAAGCTTACATGTGAATCGATACTTGTTGTTGTAACAAACTTCTCTTCTCAAATTCTATAGGAATTCAAGCTGACGATCAATCCAAGCAGCAATGTATTCCACGACTGGTTTCTATCTAATCACAATAATAACAATAATAACAATGATAACAATGATAACAATAATAACAATGATGTGTTGACCAAGCAAAACAACAAATCGTCGATGTTCACTTGAATGGGAACGCAATTTATCCAATTAAATCAAATAAACATCTGTAGTTTAAAAGAATCTGTTTTCTAAAAGTCGTATGGGTTTTGTTTGTTTGTTTGTTATTTAACGCCGCACCCAGCAATATTCCCGCTATATGACGGCAGAATGTCGTATGACGGTACACCGAACACCCTTATAGAAATACTGCTACACTCGTTTTCGTAAAAATATATATTGACGCGAGTTGCATTTTATTTATTACCCACACTTACATAAAAGCAAAAAGCGTTATCGTTACTGTTTACAATCCCAATCGGAAGTTGGTTCCAACTCTGGCTGCGCATGAATTGTGAAATGCCCAAATGCAGACATTTCAACATTCCCACCTAGACGCATTGGAAAAAAGTTCCTGTTGTTTTTGTATGAGTAATCGACAATGCAGCTTATATCAGGGAATAACAATTGTAATTAGAAGATTGTGCTTGTTTGTTTGTTGTTTAACGCCGCACTCAGCAATATTCCAGCTATATGACGGCGGTCTGGAAATAATCGAGTCTGGATCAGACAATCCAGTGATTAATATCATGAGCATCGATCCACGCAATTGGGATACGATGACATGCATCAACCAAGTCAGTGAACCTGACCACCCGATCCTGTTAGTCGCCTCTTACGACAAGCATAGTCGTCTTTCACAGCAAGCATGGGTTGCTGAAGACCTATTCTACGCCGGAATCTTCACTGGTCTCATAATCTTTGAAACATATCAGTACAGATAGTTAATACATAATATGACAGAGTATATAATCACAGTAAAACAGGAAACAACCCGAAATGAATGTCATGGAATCAAAATAAACCAATGTAATCTTTATTAGGAAATATTCTTGGATATTCATTCGAAATGTAGAAATAAGGAGTTAGGTCTTTGAAAGGCATTTAGAAGTGATACACATAAGGAAGAGAATATATGGATGTCAACTTCTTTATTATGAGGAACACAACGTTTCGGAGTATATGCTTACTCCTTCATCAGGTGAATGAATGCCATGTGGCAGAGAGCATATATATGTACATGTAAGGACAACAAAACTAATAAGTGAGTGAGTGAGTGAGTGAGTATGGTTTTACGCCGCTTTTAGCAATATTCCAGCAATATCACGGCGGGGGACACCAGAAATGGGCTTCACACATTGTACCCATGTCGGGAATGGAACCCGGGTCTTCGGCGTGACGAGCGAACGCTTTAACCACTAGGCTACCCGACCGCCCCTAACAAAACTAATAAGATAACAAAAGGGGGAAAATGCAAAGGGTAGAAGCTGACAAAGAAAGAGAACAGATGATTCGCGCTGATAGGTGATTAGCAATAGAAAATGGAAGCCTTTGTGAGCTTCTACCCTTTGTTATTTTCCACCTTTTGTTATCTTATCTGATGAAGGAGTAAGCATATACTCCGAAACGTTGTGTTCCTCACAATAAAGAAGTTGATATCCATATATTCTCTTCCCTAAGTATTTACTTTGAGAATTTACTTCCAGTTACATCTACGCTGGTAATGATCCGAACCGTTCTGGGAAGCACGTTTGCTGTAAGCGACATCAAACCACGTGACTGCCTGCAAGAAGCATCTATTATGTTCCATTTCAAAAGATCTGCACACGGTGTCAGCATCCAAGCACAACTGGGCACATTCTGCAGACGTCTTCGAATCATACTTTTGGACACCGTACCCTTTGATGACTTTGTCCACGTAGAGGGTGAACTGAGATCCAACGGATAAACAGTCTGTCACAAAGTGAAAAAGCCGTTTAACAGGACATGTCAAAATACATTTTGACATTATCGTCACCTTAACCGAAATGATCATGTTTAATCATGGTCGTTGTGAAAAGATGTTGTTTGATTCTTGTTAAAAAAATTAAGTTATTCAGACCAGTGTTTGTTTCTTTGTTGTTTAACGCCGCACTCAGCAATATTCGAGATATGTGACGGCGGTCTGGAAATAATCGAGTCTGGACCAGACAATCCAGTGAATCACGTAATTGGTTTACTTTGGTTTGGTTTGTTGTTTTACGCCACACTCAGCAATATCCCAGCTATATGACGGCGTCTGTAAGTAATTGACCAGACAATCCAGTGATTGATATCATGAGCATCGATCCACGCCATTGGGATCGATGACATGTTTCAACCAAGTCAGCGAGCCTGACCACCCGATCCCGTTCGTTGCCTCTTACGAGAAGCTTATATTCGGACCAGTGAGTAGTAGTGTCTTTTATGGCAGACTGGAATTTGAATTTTAGTATTATCCGTCTCTTCTACCCTTGGGGCAATGTTAATATCATGTGATGTTTCTAGGGTATAATATGCAGTTCAGCATGGAATATAAAAAGTGTTCCCATTAAACAATGTTAAAGCAAACAGTTTGAGTCCTAAATGTTTTGTTGTGTAAAAGATAAAACGACTGTTTCATAGTACTTTTTACTACTTGGTTTACCGATGTATTTCGTAATCATGAACTAGGAAATGAGACTGATGTTTTCAATTTAATAAAAGCGACAAAACTATTTGCATAATCATGGTAACCCACATGTTAAATTTCACATTCAAAACTTAATGAATGATACTGTCATACATGAGGGGGGGGGGTGGGGGGGGGGGGGGGGGGGGTGGGCACGGGTGGCCCAGTCGTCTAAGGCGCCGCGATTCGCTGTGCAGAGTTGCGTCCCTTGGGCACGCCAGAAACCTATGATTGTGGGTTCGAATCCCGGTTCGCCCCGATTATGTTTCTAGGTATGTCAGCACCATACCCGTGCTCGTGTGTTTCACCAAAGTGGTAAACGTTTGAGACCTGCATCACTTCGGGCTTTCCTCCCACATTAAGCTGACACGCCGTGATATAACTGGAATACTGTTAAAAGCGGCGTTAAACCCAACTCACTCACTCACTCACTCACTCACTCATACACTGGGTGATGTCAGTGTTACTGCGTGTTACCTGTCAGCTTTCTGCACACAGCGCTGGTCTCGTCCATGTCGTATCCGATGGAACATATGCAGACACCACCAGAGCAAGTCCTGCCAGGAGGTGTAGCACAGTCGGCGTCCGTTACACATGTGCCGTTATCTGCAAAACACACGTGTACATTACACACAGAATGTACACCATATATACTCTAAGAAATTGTTCAAATTCCCCAATGGTAATTGAGCTGCAAAAAACATTTAAAAGATTCATTGGCTACCTGTTAGTTCTGGAGTCTGGCAAACGGCTACAGAGACAGTTTGACAGGTTTTTTCATTTAATTTGACTTTCAGTAACTAAATTCGCTAGACATAATTTTTCACATTCGAATGTTATATTCAATTTATATATCCTACTGCGAATGTGACAAAAAGGTAGGAATGTCAAACAGAAATATTCAGGCATGCTTTTTGTATCCTACAACTAAACACTGACATAAACGCACTGTTTCCTTGTGATATGTTCGTGTATATTCTAATTTGGCCAACGAATAGAAACTCACGCATAATACTTTACAGTACTGCTGACGCATACATACACATATCAGTTGTGCTTGCCAATGCGGTAGTTGAAGTTGATACTGGAGCCGATGTAGTCGGTGCAGATGTTGAAGTACCCAGTAAAGTTGTTGAAGTTGAAATGTGAGTTGTGGTCGTTACAGGGCTTGTCAGTTCAGAGTTGGTGGTCTCTGGCAATGTTGTTGCAGGGGTAGATGATGGGGTAGTAGTAGTAGTAGTAGTAGTAGTAGTAGTAGTAGTAGTAGTAGCAGCAGAAGTAGTAGCAGTAACAGCAGCAGCAGCAGTAGTAGTAGTAAAAGTAGTTGTAGTAGTCACTTCAAGTGGAGCAGGAGGTGCAGTAGACGTAGTTGCAGCTGCTGCCCGAGAAGACGTTGCCACAGCTGTTGTGGTTGTTGCAAACTTTGTTGCCATTCCTGCTTCAGTAGTTTCTGGTGTTAACGCACCAAGACGTACACATATGTGGTCTTTAGCAGTGTTGACGGGGATGCACATGTGGTTGGTACTGCATGGCTGATTTGCACATGGATGAGCCTACAGATAACCATAAGTACGCATGATAAGGTGCGTGTATGTTCGATAACAAGCCACGGGTGAGATTAAAGGGTTTGCATTCTTCAGTTAACGACACGAACACCATTGTGGACGGGACCGTGAAGATCCGGGATAGAATAGGTCTTCAGCAACCCACGCTTACCGTAAAAGGCGACTATGCTTGTCGTAAGAGGCGACTAACGGGTTCGGGTGGTCAGGATCGCTGACTTGGCTGATGCATGTCATCGATCCCAGCGCACAGAGCACTTATGCACAGTGAATGCTGCGCTATACAAATGCATATATTGTTATTATCATCCCAATTGCATGGACCAATGCTCATGTTGTCAATCACTGGATTGTCTGGTCCAGACTCGATTATTTACAGACCGCAGTCATATAGCTGGAATTTGCTGACTGCGTTGATTTCCAGCATTTTCAGAAAGCCGTGGCATTGCGTGACAAAACTCGGAAATGCATCATTTTCAGAATTAAGTGGGTTTTTTTTATAAATTTGTATGTTTTTGATGTTTTTGGTTTTGATTGTTTGTTTGTTTGTTTTAAGCTTCTTCTTTTCTTTTTTTTCTTATTTTTTTTTTTTTTGGGGGGGGGGGGATCTCAATATTAAAAGATGTGTTATTTTATTTTGTACTAACTGCATTGTTATTGAACTTCATATGAAGCACAGTTACTTTGTTCCGTTAGTATATGAGTAATATATATTTCATTGTGTCTGTTAAGGTGAACATAAAACGTACAAGTAATGTCGAAGACAAGTTTATTAAACCACTGCGGAACAACACTTGACAAACTATCAATGAAGCCAAATGCCACCCGAGTGTCTGGTAGTTTTACATTATCCAATAAATGTCAGGTTGTGTACCACTGGTGTTCTGGCTTTGCTTTTGTGACACAGCTTGTAGGGTATAGTTGTGAAGAACCCCACAGGGAGATAAAAAAAAAAAGCATTGAAGCCAATGAAGCACAACCGACTATGAATACACTTTCGTCGAATCACCAACGTAGTATGTTTAAGAGCAAGTAAATGAAAAGAAATTCAAATATCAGAATAAAGTCTACTACATACATGTCATTTATGATTCAAAGGGTGAGTGCGTAAGAAGGTTTTACGCTTCTATTAACAATATTCCAGCAATATCACGCCGTGGGACACCAGAAATGGGCTTCACACATTGTACCCATGTTGGAATCGAACCCGGGTCTTTGGTGTGACGAGCAAACGCTTTAACCACTACGCTACCCGACCACCCCATGATTCAAAGGGAGTGTTCAAGCTTGATCAAAAGCTTACATGTGAATCGATACTTGTTGTTGTAACAAACTTCTCTTCTCAAATTCTATAGGAATTCAAGCTGACGATCAATCCAAGCAGCAATGTATTCCACGACTGGTTTCTATCTAATCACAATAATAACAATAATAACAATGATAACAATGATAACAATAATAACAATGATGTGTTGACCAAGCAAAACAACAAATCGTCGATGTTCACTTGAATGGGAACGCAATTTATCCAATTAAATCAAATAAACATCTGTAGTTTAAAAGAATCTGTTTTCTAAAAGTCGTATGGGTTTTGTTTGTTTGTTTGTTATTTAACGCCGCACCCAGCAATATTCCCGCTATATGACGGCAGAATGTCGTATGACGGTACACCGAACACCCTTATAGAAATACTGCTACACTCGTTTTCGTAAAAATATATATTGACGCGAGTTGCATTTTATTTATTACCCACACTTACATAAAAGCAAAAAGCGTTATCGTTACTGTTTACAATCCCAATCGGAAGTTGGTTCCAACTCTGGCTGCGCATGAATTGTGAAATGCCCAAATGCAGACATTTCAACATTCCCACCTAGACGCATTGGAAAAAAGTTCCTGTTGTTTTTGTATGAGTAATCGACAATGCAGCTTATATCAGGGAATAACAATTGTAATTAGAAGATTGTGCTTGTTTGTTTGTTGTTTAACGCCGCACTCAGCAATATTCCAGCTATATGACGGCGGTCTGGAAATAATCGAGTCTGGATCAGACAATCCAGTGATTAATATCATGAGCATCGATCCACGCAATTGGGATACGATGACATGCATCAACCAAGTCAGTGAACCTGACCACCCGATCCTGTTAGTCGCCTCTTACGACAAGCATAGTCGTCTTTCACAGCAAGCATGGGTTGCTGAAGACCTATTCTACGCCGGAATCTTCACTGGTCTCATAATCTTTGAAACATATCAGTACAGATAGTTAATACATAATATGACAGAGTATATAATCACAGTAAAACAGGAAACAACCCGAAATGAATGTCATGGAATCAAAATAAACCAATGTAATCTTTATTAGGAAATATTCTTGGATATTCATTCGAAATGTAGAAATAAGGAGTTAGGTCTTTGAAAGGCATTTAGAAGTGATACACATAAGGAAGAGAATATATGGATGTCAACTTCTTTATTATGAGGAACACAACGTTTCGGAGTATATGCTTACTCCTTCATCAGGTGAATGAATGCCATGTGGCAGAGAGCATATATATGTACATGTAAGGACAACAAAACTAATAAGTGAGTGAGTGAGTGAGTGAGTATGGTTTTACGCCGCTTTTAGCAATATTCCAGCAATATCACGGCGGGGGACACCAGAAATGGGCTTCACACATTGTACCCATGTCGGGAATGGAACCCGGGTCTTCGGCGTGACGAGCGAACGCTTTAACCACTAGGCTACCCGACCGCCCCTAACAAAACTAATAAGATAACAAAAGGGGGAAAATGCAAAGGGTAGAAGCTGACAAAGAAAGAGAACAGATGATTCGCGCTGATAGGTGATTAGCAATAGAAAATGGAAGCCTTTGTGAGCTTCTACCCTTTGTTATTTTCCACCTTTTGTTATCTTATCTGATGAAGGAGTAAGCATATACTCCGAAACGTTGTGTTCCTCACAATAAAGAAGTTGATATCCATATATTCTCTTCCCTAAGTATTTACTTTGAGAATTTACTTCCAGTTACATCTACGCTGGTAATGATCCGAACCGTTCTGGGAAGCACGTTTGCTGTAAGCGACATCAAACCACGTGACTGCCTGCAAGAAGCATCTATTATGTTCCATTTCAAAAGATCTGCACACGGTGTCAGCATCCAAGCACAACTGGGCACATTCTGCAGACGTCTTCGAATCATACTTTTGGACACCGTACCCTTTGATGACTTTGTCCACGTAGAGGGTGAACTGAGATCCAACGGATAAACAGTCTGTCACAAAGTGAAAAAGCCGTTTAACAGGACATGTCAAAATACATTTTGACATTATCGTCACCTTAACCGAAATGATCATGTTTAATCATGGTCGTTGTGAAAAGATGTTGTTTGATTCTTGTTAAAAAAATTAAGTTATTCAGACCAGTGTTTGTTTCTTTGTTGTTTAACGCCGCACTCAGCAATATTCGAGATATGTGACGGCGGTCTGGAAATAATCGAGTCTGGACCAGACAATCCAGTGAATCACGTAATTGGTTTACTTTGGTTTGGTTTGTTGTTTTACGCCACACTCAGCAATATCCCAGCTATATGACGGCGTCTGTAAGTAATTGACCAGACAATCCAGTGATTGATATCATGAGCATCGATCCACGCCATTGGGATCGATGACATGTTTCAACCAAGTCAGCGAGCCTGACCACCCGATCCCGTTCGTTGCCTCTTACGAGAAGCTTATATTCGGACCAGTGAGTAGTAGTGTCTTTTATGGCAGACTGGAATTTGAATTTTAGTATTATCCGTCTCTTCTACCCTTGGGGCAATGTTAATATCATGTGATGTTTCTAGGGTATAATATGCAGTTCAGCATGGAATATAAAAAGTGTTCCCATTAAACAATGTTAAAGCAAACAGTTTGAGTCCTAAATGTTTTGTTGTGTAAAAGATAAAACGACTGTTTCATAGTACTTTTTACTACTTGGTTTACCGATGTATTTCGTAATCATGAACTAGGAAATGAGACTGATGTTTTCAATTTAATAAAAGCGACAAAACTATTTGCATAATCATGGTAACCCACATGTTAAATTTCACATTCAAAACTTAATGAATGATACTGTCATACATGAGGGGGGGGGTGGGGGGGGGGGGGGGGGGTGGGCACGGGTGGCCCAGTCGTCTAAGGCGCCGCGATTCGCTGTGCAGAGTTGCGTCCCTTGGGCACGCCAGAAACCTATGATTGTGGGTTCGAATCCCGGTTCGCCCCGATTATGTTTCTAGGTATGTCAGCACCATACCCGTGCTCGTGTGTTTCACCAAAGTGGTAAACGTTTGAGACCTGCATCACTTCGGGCTTTCCTCCCACATTAAGCTGACACGCCGTGATATAACTGGAATACTGTTAAAAGCGGCGTTAAACCCAACTCACTCACTCACTCACTCACTCACTCATACACTGGGTGATGTCAGTGTTACTGCGTGTTACCTGTCAGCTTTCTGCACACAGCGCTGGTCTCGTCCATGTCGTATCCGATGGAACATATGCAGACACCACCAGAGCAAGTCCTGCCAGGAGGTGTAGCACAGTCGGCGTCCGTTACACATGTGCCGTTATCTGCAAAACACACGTGTACATTACACACAGAATGTACACCATATATACTCTAAGAAATTGTTCAAATTCCCCAATGGTACGTAATTGAGCTGCAAAAAACATTTAAAAGATTCATTGGCTACCTGTTAGTTCTGGAGTCTGGCAAACGGCTACAGAGACAGTTTGACAGGTTTTTTCATTTAATTTGACTTTCAGTAACTAAATTCGCTAGACATAATTTTTCACATTCGAATGTTATATTCAATTTATATATCCTACTGCGAATGTGACAAAAAGGTAGGAATGTCAAACAGAAATATTCAGGCATGCTTTTTGTATCCTACAACTAAACACTGACATAAACGCACTGTTTCCTTGTGATATGTTCGTGTATATTCTAATTTGGCCAACGAATAGAAACTCACGCATAATACTTTACAGTACTGCTGACGCATACATACACATATCAGTTGTGCTTGCCAATGCGGTAGTTGAAGTTGATACTGGAGCCGATGTAGTCGGTGCAGATGTTGAAGTACCCAGTAAAGTTGTTGAAGTTGAAATGTGAGTTGTGGTCGTTACAGGGCTTGTCAGTTCAGAGTTGGTGGTCTCTGGCAATGTTGTTGCAGGGGTAGATGATGGGGTAGTAGTAGTAGTAGTAGTAGTAGTAGTAGTAGTAGCAGCAGAAGTAGTAGCAGTAACAGCAGCAGCAGCAGTAGTAGTAGTAAAAGTAGTTGTAGTAGTCACTTCAAGTGGAGCAGGAGGTGCAGTAGACGTAGTTGCAGCTGCTGCCCGAGAAGACGTTGCCACAGCTGTTGTGGTTGTTGCAAACTTTGTTGCCATTCCTGCTTCAGTAGTTTCTGGTGTTAACGCACCAAGACGTACACATATGTGGTCTTTAGCAGTGTTGACGGGGATGCACATGTGGTTGGTACTGCATGGCTGATTTGCACATGGATGAGCCTACAGATAACCATAAGTACGCATGATAAGGTGCGTGTATGTTCGATAACAAGCCACGGGTGAGATTAAAGGGTTTGCATTCTTCAGTTAACGACACGAACACCATTGTGGACGGGACCGTGAAGATCCGGGATAGAATAGGTCTTCAGCAACCCACGCTTACCGTAAAAGGCGACTATGCTTGTCGTAAGAGGCGACTAACGGGTTCGGGTGGTCAGGATCGCTGACTTGGCTGATGCATGTCATCGATCCCAGCGCACAGAGCACTTATGCACAGTGAATGCTGCGCTATACAAATGCATATATTGTTATTATCATCCCAATTGCATGGACCAATGCTCATGTTGTCAATCACTGGATTGTCTGGTCCAGACTCGATTATTTACAGACCGCAGTCATATAGCTGGAATTTGCTGACTGCGGCGTAAAACAGATCCGCAAGAAGGGGAGCACAATTGGTGCCCATGGGGATGCCTACTTCTTGCCGTCATATTATATTGCTGAGTGCGGCGTTAAACAACAAACAAACAAATAAAACAAACGATTGTGGACTGTGTGTAACCAAGCATGCTCTTTTGTTTGTTTGTTTGTTTGTTGTTTAACACCGTACTCAGCAATATAACATGACGGCAAGAAGTAGGCATCCCCATGGGCACCAATTGTGCTCCCCTTCTTGCGGATCTATTTCTTTATGCATCTGAATCGGAATTTCTGCTCGGATTGGCAAAGTCAAAACAAGGTTTCAGAGTGGCAAAACAAGATATGGAACACCATTCCCCAAGTCTTACATGCTTACCAATTTCGCGAACACCTGGTGTCATCACTACATTTCAGTGATCCATTTATTTAATATCCAACACTGTTTCGGCAGATGATAGAAACTGATTATTTTCTGGTGTTTACCATTGAATTCAAAGTTTAGTGGCCTCAATGAGACGAATGTGTCAAGGCTCCATCACTGCACAAGGTGGTCACACGTACCTCTGGATCCGTGAAGATCCGGGGTAGAGTGGGTCTTCAGCAACCCATGCTTGCCGTAAAAGGCAACTATGCTTGCCGTACGAGGCGGCTAACGGGATCGGGTGGTGAGGCTCGCTGACTTGGTTAATGCATGCCATCGTATCCCAATTGTGTAGGTCGATGTAGATTGATATCTTCTCAACAAATATACATCACGAAACCATATTATTGTAAGCTTACTGCATGCAAAGCTGTCACCTAATCGTTTGATAACAAAAATGAAACAAGTAAGTAACGAACGCAAATTGTTTCCCGAAGTATTTACTTTCATTTTTATATATTAACAACATACACCACCCCTCATATCCCACACCTTCAATCACCACCCATACCCACCGCTATTTCAACATGTTATATCGTCGCTTGGGTGACACTTATGATTGTTCGCGCTGCGAGGATAGTATGGACGTCAACAGTTTCAAGAAATTGATGTACGAGTGAAGATCCGGGGTAGAATAGGTCTTCAGGAACCCATGCTTGCCGTAAATGGCGACCATGCTTGTCGTAAGAGGCGACAAACGGGATCGGGTGGTCAGGCTCGCTGACTTGGTTCATGTATGTCATCGTACCACAATTCAACCCAGGTCATCGATCCCAATTGCGTGGATCGATGTTCATGATGTCAATCACTGGATTGTCTGGTCCAGACTCGATTATTTACAGACCGCCGACATACAGCTGGAATATTGCTGAGTGCGGCGTTAAACAACAAACAAACAAACAAACAAACCAGTTGCGTGGATCGACGCCCATGACGTCGATCAGTGGATTGTCTGGTCCGGATTATTTACAGCCCACCGTCAAGAGTGCGGCGTTAAACAAACAACTTCACAGACTGCACGAGTGTTCCAGATGCATGTACATGAATTGGTAGCACGCAACAAGAGCCCCAACAAAGTGAACAAATGTCAAGCTTTGGAAGTCAACTAGCTGATACTTTCGTTATTCCAAGTGTCTGTGACAAAGGAATGTGCTCTCTCTCCTGGGAAATACTACACAACAAGACAAAAAAGTGAGCAGGGCTCACTAATACCCCCGCCTAAACATAAGAAAAGCAATATTTTCTCAGAAATTCGACTAATCGACATCAAACTTCGCACCGCACCTCTCCTATTTGTATAAAATCTGTACACCCAATTGGAAAGTAGTTTTCAAGAGATAGCTCGCACAAATGTTGAGGTAACAAAGAAAGAAATTCACAACATGAAAAACATAACGTTTTTACAGAAAATACACACATCAAAATCAAACTTTGCACTGCATCTCTTCTGTTAGTATGGAAACTGTTCCCAAGATTTGAAAAGATTCCAAGAAGCAGTTTTCAAGTGATACGCCGCACAAATGTTGGAAGTATAAAAAATGTCAAAGTTCACAACATAAAAACCTTCATATGTTTTAAGAAAATACACATATCAAAATCAAACTTTGCACTGCACCTCTTCTATTGGTATGGGAACTGTTCACAAGATTTGAAATGCATCCATGTTTGTTTGTTGTTTAACGCCACACACAGCAATATTCCGTGAAGATCCGGGGTAGAATAGTTCTTCAGCAACCCATACTTGCCGTAACAGGCGACTATGCTTGTCGTAAGAGGCGACAAACGGGATCGGGTGGTCAGGCTCGCTGACTTGGTGGATGCATGTCATCTAGTGATTAATACCATGAGCATTGATCCACGCAATTGGGATACGATGACATGCATCAACCAAGTCAGCGAGTCTGACCACCCGATCCCGTTAGTCGCCCGTACGGCAAGCATAGTCGCCTGTTACGGCAAGCATGGGTTGCTGAAGACCTATTCTACCCCGGATCTTCATGGGTCGAGAGGCACGTATGTCCACCTTGTGCAGTGATGGAGCCTTGACACATTCGTCTCATTGAGGCCACTAAACTTTGAATTCAATGGTAAACACCAGAAAATAATCAGTCTCTATCATCTCTTTCTGGAACAATTTTATTTTTACCCTCTTACCTGCTGTGGCATCTGTTGGACTTGTAGGTAGATGTTCTTGTCAGATACTTGCAAACTTTCCCTGTTCCCGGTCTTTGAATTTAGTTGACACTCCTTGGCCAACGACGACCAGTTGACCGAGAGACATCTGGATGAATAGCCACACAGTCGGCGACACTGCTGTAACGTTGTTCTTCGAAATATCTGGAACACAGACCCGGACAAAATCATGTCCTGTATTCCATCAAATTGTCCCTTTGATGCCACACATAAAGAAAAGTGTAGAATGAGAGCAGCTACAAATATGGTATTTGTATCCATTTGCTCCCGTGTACTTCACACATATAGAGTTGAAGCAGTGAAGACTGACCGACTCAACTCGTCTCCTGAACCAGAAGGTAATGATGCAGAGATGCAATGACAAGTCGGGTCGAGAATCGATACTTCAGAAGCTTGTTTGTGTGATGTTTAACCCCTGTAGATCCGGGGTAGAATAGGTCTGCAGCAACCCATGCTTGCCGTAAAAAGCGACTATGCTTGTCGTAAGAGGCGATTAACGGGATCGGGTTGTGAGGCTCGCTGACTTGGTTGATGCATGTAATGGATCCCAATTGCGTGGGTGGATCGATGCTCATGTTGTCAATCACTGGAATGTCTGGTCCAGACTCGATATTCAGACCGCCGTCATAGGGCTGGAATATTGCTGATTGCGGCGTTAAACAACAAACAAACAAAGAAAACAAATGATTCTCATGATGTCAATCACTGGATTGCCTGGTCCAGATTCGATTATTTACGGACCGCCGTCATATAGCTTGAATATTGCAGAGTGCGGCGTTAAACAAACAAACAATGCTGTTTAACCCTGCAGTCAGGTATAATCCTGCGGTGGACCACACAAACCACTGATGTCATGCCTATGTCATGGTTCATGATCGTCCAGGAATCAGTTCCCCGGAAATCAACTAACTTTTTTCAATAACTTTGACGGTTACCTTTATCTTTGTCTGGTGAAATATTTTCAAAGCTGTCTACGATCTGAGATCGCTTGTTTCTCATGCATATTTCACCATAACATTAGAGAGACGACATGCTTCTATGTTTCTATGGCGTGTTCGAGAGCTTCAGACCAATTTGTATCCATAGAAATGCTTTATCTATCGGAGTAGCACTGCGACAAATATCAGTTGATACTAGACATGCTATTTGTCTGAGATTAACTGTACCAGGAAGTGTTTTTTTTAATTATTGATAAAACCCAGGGTAGAAAAGGGCGTCAGCAACCCATGCATGCCATAAAAGGTGATGTTTGTCGAAAGAGGCGGCTAACGGGATCGGGTAGTCAGGCTCGCTGACTTGGTTGATGCATGTCATCGTATCCCAATTGCGTAGATCGATTCTCTTGATGTCAATCACTGGATTGTCTGGTCCAGACTAGATTATGTACAGAATATTGCTGAGTGCGGAGTTATACAACAAATAAACGAACGAACGAAGCAGCAAATTGAGAGCCAAAGTGCAAGTTGCACGTGCGAAAGGATCAGTATGCACGTGCTTCGCCTTGGACCCTAACTTTCAACGATAAGACGCAATACAGGTCCTCGTGCTCTAACCAGTACATATACTATTATGATGTCCGCATTAATACCATTCCGTGAAGATTCCGGGGTAGAATAGGTCTTCAGCAACCTATGCTTGCCGTAAAAGGCGACTATGCTTGTCGTAAAAGGCGACTAACGGGATCGGTTGGTCAGGCTCGCTGACTTGGTTGATGCATGATATCGATCCCAATTGCGTGGATCGATGCCCATGATATTAATCACTGGATTGTCTGGTCCAGACTCGATTATTTACAGACCGCCGTCACATAGCTGGAATATAGCTGAGTGCGGCGTTAAACAACAAACAAACCACATTAATACCAGTCCCCCGAAACACACTAAACACACAATCACATTGATTTGAATTACATTAGTAAACCTTTCGTGTGGTATCCATATAAAATTGCGACATGATACCTCAGTGGGCTAGCACTGTAAGACCGGCATAAGTGACGGCCAGTTCGAGCAACCACTCCCATACGTGCATGCACGTCCCAATATAAGTAAACTAATATTGAACGGAACATGAAAGCCCATTTCACGTCGCCTCACATTTCTTCCATGAGTATGATATTGTTAAGAGGGGCACGAGTCGCTATTCGGCTTGTCCCGGAATAACACGATATCGTATTTGAGAAAGATATCACCTGTTTATTTTACGAATTGAGGTAGTTAAACAAAGAATTGAATAGTTGGGAAACTACTGCAATGGCTGCCCGGCACGTAAAGCTTCACTTTGTGTGTGTACAGTTGCATATACACGTTGTCCTGTTGAAACAGCTCCCTCACATTTCTTCCATGAGTATGATATTGTTAAGGGCGAGCGCTCGTTTTTTTCAGTAATTGACCATATGTAGCATTTTCCTTCAATACCCAATCCAAGGATAATAAACCTACTGCCACGTTTGCCTATTGCTTTGAAGATATCTTCCTATCTCGTACTAACCTAGACACAATTTATGGATAACGCTTTCTTTAGTTACTGTAAAGGCGACATTTCGGTACAGATAATTATACCGTTGTCAAGCAAGATGGAATGATGGACATGATACAGAATATACATTGTAGGAGGAGGATTAACAGTAACAACAATTGCATTCAAGAGAGAGATTAACATGAGTAGTTTAAGTAATGACCACAAAGGGATAATACTGTAATACCATGACGGACAGAGAACACATGATGGGCAAGACAATGGCGAGTGAGTGTGTTTTTACGCCGCTTTTAGCAATTTTCCAGCACTATCACAGCGGGGGACACCAGAAATGGGCTTCACACATTGTACCCATATCGGGAAATGAACCCGGGTCTTCGGCGTGACGAGCGAACGCTTTAAAGGGCAAGTTCACACGGAAATGAACCTAATGTTCTTGTACTTTTTCCACAATAAAAGTGTTAACCTAGAAGTGTCATAGACAAAAATATAAAAATATCACAATTAATCAACATATGTTTTGCATTAAAACGATTTATATTTTTCACATTTACCAAGTGTTCTATTTCCATAACAAAAACACCATGGCTTATGCCCCTTGCAATATGACGTCATTGGTGCCAATTGATAAACATAATGACGTCATCATGCTTTGTTAGAGCCGCTTCACGTGGTGTAGGTACAGGTGTGTGATTCTAGCGTCTCAGATGCCAGCCAGCATAGTGTTATGCTGAGTCACCACTGCGCCGGAGTTTGTCGTAGGCCATGTTGTTTTACCGAAAACTTGTACTTGATATCTTTTGCGTTCAGAATAGACAGGGACCCAGTTGAATTGGCACCAATTACGTCATAATCTAAGGGAGATAACTAAGGCCTGTTTAGCTCGAAAAACGAAGGCCTCATAACGGCATATCATTTTCACACTATTGTGAGCTTCCTACTATCACTGTGAAAAAAATGAGTGTATATTTTCAAACACAGATACTAACTAATTCTAAAATTGCGTTTTGTTTAGAAAAAGAAAGAAAGTAATTTTTGCGTGTACACTTCCCCTTTAACCACTATGCTACCCTACCGCCCCTGGGAAGACAATAAGACAGGAAGCCAATTAAACAGGATATGTATACATAGAAGGGGTGATTATTGAATAATGAGTTCAAAGTAGGCGGAAGGGATGAAAGAGCCTTGATCTCTTTTGATTGATGGCTTGTGGCGGCGAATGTTGACTGCTTCTGTTAGTTTTCTTTATAGTGAAGTCATGGAGGTTGTTTGGAGAGGATTTGGACGTTTTCCCAGTTGATGTTGTGATTGGGGCAGTTGCTGATATGGTCCAAGATGGCTGATGTTTTTACAGTAATTTAAAAAGTTGCTATCCATAAAGTGTGTCTCATTTGTCATCCGTCAACCTGTAAGTAAAGCCTATCAAACAATTCGTAATAACCTCTTGTTAGGTTTAACTATCCCCAGTAAGACCTGATCCCGGGTATGAGGTTTTCCTTTTTGCCAGTGAGCCCTGGTATGAGGTTTTCCTTTTTCCCAGTGAGCTCTGGTATGAGGTTTTCCTTTTTCCAAGTGATTCCTGGTATGAGGTTTTCCTTTTTTTCCAGTGAGCTCTGGTATGAGGTTTTCCTTTTTCCCAGTGATTCCTGGTATGAGGTTTTCCTTTTTTCCAGTGAGCTCTGGTATGAGGTTTTCCTTTTTCCCAGTGAGCTCTGGTATGAGGTTTTCCTTTTCCCCAGTGATCCCTTGTATGAGGTTTTCCTTCTTTTTTTTGTAAGACCTGATTTAGCCGGGTAGAAGATGAAACTTAACTTGGTGTTCAAACGTCCAATGTTCTACAATCGAAGACAAGCAATGAACGTTTTCATTATGGTTGACGGGATTCGAACCTGCAACCTCACATATCGTGTTTAGTTTTGTAAACTACTGTTTTCGCACTGAGCCACCGGGACAGGTGACGAAAGGGTGTTCAAATTTACTTGTTACGACGTCAGTTGCATGCTACATACTATATGCTGCAAGTGGTCTACCTCTCGCTCGCTCATTCGTCCCCACTCGCCCCTTTCCGTAACCTGCAAGAAGACTCGTCCTCCTATCGATGAATGTCATATGCAAAAATACGACAAACCGATCAGAATGCGTGTAGGATTTCAAATTCTTCGTCAAAGAATCCCTCAGAAATACTGTTGGATTTTACATATGTCTTGCATCTAAAAATATACCCAAAATATTCCGCATGGCCAGATGTGCTTTAAATTGCATCTGAAATATATGTAATATATTGGGAAACATATAATATACTGGTATATGTGAACCATTACGCAACGAGTTGACAGTTGTTTTAGGTATGCCCGTTTGCGCTAAGACGGAACCCGGTCGCAAAAATGGCCATGAGAGGGGCACGAGTCGCTATTCGGCTTGTCCCGGAATAACACGATATCGTATTTGAGAAAGATATCACCTGTTATTTTACGAATTGAGGTAGTTAAACAAAGAATTGAATAGTTGGGAAACTACTGCAATGGCTGCCCGGCACGTAAAGCTTCACTTTGTGTGTGTACAGTTGCATATACACGTTGTCCTGTTGAAACAGCTCCCTCTGGCGGTCAATGATTGGAAGAAGGTGAAATTGAAGAATTTGATTCACGTGCACAATGTGGGGCTAAACGCTCATTTCGACTAAACCAGTCTTCCATCTTCCATAAGGAGATATTATCAGAAATCCTAAGATGATCTTAAGGAACTTAAAGGGGCACTGATCAAAAGCATTTCCGGGGGACTGTTTGTTGCCTTTGTTATTGTTTTCTCCCCATGAGTACCCGGATAATACGCACCGCAACTGAGC